CCTCAAAGCCAGGCAACCTACAGAAGTCCCAGGAAACATATGGAATTGAGTATCCTAAGCCAAAAGGGCCTGGCTTCAGCCAATATTTCAAATCTGGCTGTGTGGTTCCAGGCAAGTAGGTGAAATGAGGGCAGGGAAACTTTTATACTGTGGTGTGTGGTTTCTGGAAAGCCCAGAGTGGAATGTTTGCTCAGGGTGACCTATTTGGAATCACACCAGCAACTTTTGAAATGCTGCGTTCTGGATTTCAGTCAGTCACACATTTAAATCCAAGTCTCAGGGAGGAGCAAGGGCACAAAGGAAGAATTGCTTGTTCATAGCAGGAAGTTACCTTTCATGAGCCCAAACTGCTTCTGAGGACCCCTTAAAAGCAAGAGTATGCATCACACCTTTGAAAAGCATTTGGCCAGTCTCTCCCCCCTTCCCCTCTCTTTCTTTCTCTCCCTCCTTCCTTCATTTTTTCTTTATTTTGTGTCATACTAGGGCTTGAACTCAGGGCCTAGGCACTATCCCTTAGCTTTTCCCTGTCAAGGCTGACACTCTACCACTTAAACCACAGCCCCACTTGCAGCTTTTTGGTGGTGAACTGGAAAGTCCCGTGGACTTTTCTGCCTGGGCTAATTGTGAGCTGAGATCCTTACATCTTTTCCTCCTGAGTAGCTAGAATACAGGCGTGAGCCACCAGAAACTGGTCATTTGGCTAGTTTCTTTCCAGTTACAGTAAAAAAAAAAAATATAGAAATGTCACTTGTGTGTTAAGGGGAGGGGTGTTGAAGTACTCCTGGCCCACATTTAAGTGGAAAAGTAAAAAGAATCTCTCCTCCTTAAAAATATCTGTTACAAGAGTGCTTGCCTGGAAAGTACAAAGCCCAGAGTTCAATCCCTAGTACTGAAAACAATAATCTGTTACAGGACATATGTAGGTCTATTTCAAGTATATTCCGGAAGTAGTCAATATGCCACTATTATTAGTCAAGTGTGTGTCAGCTCTTCCCAGAAGAGGGCTAGACAGGTGGCACCTATCCTATCCCATCCCAAGAGCAGGTCAAAAGCTGTCAAGTGAACACTTCTCAGAAAGACTACTTTCTGGCCTATTTCCTGATACTTCTTTATTCCCCCCAACTTCTCTATCCCCTCTCTCCTTTTCCTCTCTGCCTTCTTCCACTCCCTCTTCCCCTCTCCCTTTCCAGGGTCTGGGGGTGGAATCCAGGACCTTGCCCGGCATAGTGAAGTACTCTTTATGTTTATTAAAAATCTAGGCTAGAGCCACAAAGTCCTATCTTCCCTTCCTTGCTCTTGGGGTAAGGCTGATACAATCCTAAGGAGTGAGAAAGATTCCGTGGCATTGGAGTGGGGGAAAAGTTCCATTTTAATCAAGTATTTGGGAAGAGTTGTGATAGTTACACTGACAGTGGGAACTGGAGTTTGTGTGTGTGTTTGTGGGGGGGGGGTGGATCGGACATCGTCCCTCAGTGAATCTGGACACTTGTGACTTCAGCAAGGGCAAAGGTGCTTTACACCCTCCCTTTCCCAGATTCCTGCTAACTAGGCCCATTCATAATGGATTCATGTCAACGAGGCTCGTTCCTGCTGGAGGAATTCCTGGAAGTTTTCTAGGTTACCTGGCAAGAAGACAGGTGCCTCATTTGTGTAATTTAAGGGTCACCAAAAGACCTGTCTGGCTCAATCTCACCCTCTTTCTTCCCTACCCTGGGCCTACATACTTAATTACTGATTTCTTCTCTGGTTTTGTTTCTTCTTCCCCCTCCTCCTTTTTTCTCTTTCTCTCTCTCTTCCTCGGGTGTTGGGGATGGAATATAGGACCCTGTACATAGTAGGCCAGTACTCCACTAGTGAGCTAGACCTTCAGTCTTATGTTTTCAATTGACATATGAGAACTGTACATATCAATTAGGAGCCATGTGACATTTGGATTCCTGCATACATGTATAATGTTCATATTGGGCTAAGCATAAATATCTCCTCGAGAATTCATCTTATTTTTGTGGTGAGAAAACATTCAAGATCCCTCTAATATTTTGAAATAGACACACATTATGGTTCTCTGTAGTTCTTCCCATCTGAGTGTAATAAGCCCACACATTTCACTTGAGGTCATTTGCTTCAGGGCCAGAGGGCTCCACATTTACATTTGAGGACTCTTGTCTAACTTACAGCAGGCTCTGAGGAGACATGACATTCTTATTTTTCAATTCAGTGCTTCATGTTATAACAGAAACAGCCTAAAAAGAGAGTCACACATAATTTCCACACACTCTTTCAAGCAAACAAACAGCCTCAGCTTGAAGTGTTAAAAAAATCCCAGGTATTCAGAATGAAGCCTGCCTATTTCCTTGAAATCTTCTAAGTGTGATAAAAAAACAGGATGCTTCCAAGTGATATTTGTCAGCTTCTTAATGAACGTTGTGTAAATGTAAATCCACAAAGGATACAACAGCTTCTTACTAGCCAACAACAGGTTCTTTTAATTATGTGCACTGTTGTCATGGGGATGGGTGGGCGTTGCATCCCATAATTTCCAGCTTGAAATCTAGGGTGCCTCTCCCCTCTGTTCTGTGCAAGTGGCTGCTTAGGATGCCCTGCTATTCTAGCACCTAGCATTATGGCCAAAACACACAAACAACTTTAAATGCTATGATAAAACACAAGTAGTATGACGTTTACCCTCTTTTTCCCTTCAGTGCTGGGGACTGAACCTCTAGATCTTTGCACAGTTGCATCCAACCACTGAGCTCACTGAGTCTCAGACCCATCCTGAACTGAAATTCTACCCATCCAACAGCTCCTTATTTCTCCCTCCTCCAATCTTAGGCAAGTCTACTTCTGTTTCTATGAATTTAACTACATTAGATGTATCATAATAAATAGCACAATCATATATTTGTCCTTTGGGGACTGGCTTATTTCACTTAGCATGATGTTCTTCAAAACTCTTCCAGCTGTAGCATATGTCAGAATTTTCTTCTTTTTTAAGGCTGAATATTCCATTGTAATGATATGTTCATTTCTTTATCCATTATTTACTCAGCAATGGACCAAGCAGCCCAGAGACTGCTTCTACTTCTTGTCTATTGCAAACAATGCTTCCCCAAACCTACATGCACAAATATCTCTTCAAGTCCCTGCCGATATTTTTGGAAAAATCCTCAGAAGTGGAACTACTGGATCATATGGTAGGTCTATGTTTAATTATTTGAGAACCGCCCCCATATATCTCAAGCAAATTCTGACCTACTACTTACATTAACTCAATGATAAAGCGGTCTGGAACCTCTACCACTGAAGTCCCCACAAAATGGCATGTGGTGTCACATTGGTTCAAGTCCATGACTCTGAGCCAGAATTCCACAGTCCTTTCCAGCTGCCCATTTCTGGGCCTCAGATCTCCTAACTGGGATTTCTAGGGGAAGACTTGTGAACCTGCATCAAAAATGGTTGCCTCACCCCAAGAACCTGCACTGGGGTTGGCATTGTGTTGGGTTTTCTACAAGAGACCTCTTAGGTCTGGTTCTCTAACTAGGTAGCCTAACAGCTACCATTTACTTCTGTGTGTATTCACTTAATATTGTCTCTTGGAGTTTGGACAAGCTTTTCAGATGAGTTGGATTAGACATGGTCAGGCCTTGATTTCATCTGCTTTACTCAGATTTAGGGGCTCACTTGGGAGAGTAATCTGCTGCCACTTCTAATCATTCATCCAGCTGGAGCCTTGGATGTGCTGGTCCTCTGAAGGTTTCCAAGGCACTGGGGGAGCCCACAAAAACCCTGGACATTGGCCTGAAAATTGTTCTGGCAGCGTCACTGTGTTGACTATCTAGAATACACATATTTATGCAAATGACATGCACTGGAGGATCGTTGGAGCTTGAAGGAACCATTCTGGTTAGCCTCAGCCTTGGGACTTGGCTGGGACTAACTTGCCTGGGCTAAGAGGACCACATGGAGGCAGAGTTACACACAAGTAATAAAAGTGGCAGAAGTCAGTGCTGTCTTCATCTCACCATGCCTCTACCTTCTACCTGTCCTTCCCTCATTTCTACAGCTCATCTTCCTGTTTCTGTCTTTCTTTGGTGTTTTTCTTTTCTCTATTGCCTGTCAACATCATTGTCTATTTTTTCAAAGCTGTTTGTTTTGTGTTGAGTTTTGAGGATGCCAGCAAATAAGATGCAAGCCTTTCCTTGCTGGGCCCATAATGGGACTGAATTTCTGGCCTCAGGCCTGCATTACCATTCTGATCATGCATTTTGCATGCGTCCGAAGTATAAATGAGTACTTAAGTCAAATGAGTACTTAAGTCAGAGTTCATGTCTCTGCAGCCAGAGTTTGGACAATTAGTTATCTGGGTAATTTCAGAAACAATGACTTTACTGCCTATCTTCTCCTGATGAATAATTTATCCATTGTAGATTGCTGCCTCATGGTAAAGTAGCCCCTTCATTGAGCAGTAGTGAGCTGAGTGAGCTGATGACCCATGAACCAGAGCTATTAACGCATGCTTACAGCAGGGCTGTAAAGGGGAGATAAAAATGCAGAAAGCAAGGCTGAGAAAGCCTAGCTTACATTGTTCTTTATTAACTATAAGGTGTTTCTCACAGTGCAGAATTATTTAATTAGAATCAAAATAAAGTAACAAATCACACACAATTCAGGGGGATTGTATACATAGGAACAAACAGGAGTGGGTGTGTGCTTCCTCCATAGGAGTGAGCTTTATGAGCAAAATGCCAGTATGAAAGCATACATTTTCCCCTTCTCCTCCAATGATAGAGCACTTCGATGAACAAAACGCAATTATCAAAGCACACATTCTCCCTCCTCTTCCAATGAGAGAGAGCCTTAATGAGCAATATGCAAATAGGAAAGCATACATTCTTCCTGCTCTTCTCTCTCTCTGTCCCTCCTTTCCAGGATCCTTAGGCCTTCACAGGCACGTTTGCATGATAAAAGACACTTGTAATTATGGGACAATTAAGGCTTACCATTGTTGTAAGAGCGAAAATTTCCTACAAATTTTATGTATTCATAAGTCGGAAATTCCTTTGGGTTCAAGCTGCCTCTGAGAAGATGGCAATAAAACTCCAAATCGTTGTCAGCTGGGCCGTTAAGGGAAGAAAAGTAGAGAAAGGAAGATGAACATCACATACAGTCTAGACTACACAAATCACGTCTCTGTGAAAATTCTTTCAGGATTCAGTCCACACATAGAAACACCTTTTTCTCATGAGTGATGGCTTCGAACCTTTGTAGCTCAGGCCTTTCTTGTTGTTCTTCATAGATATTCGGCATTCTATACTTGGACCTAATTAGTTTTAATTTGCTCACAGATGTCTGTGGTTGGTTATGTCGGGCTTGATTAGTTCTGGTTGTTTTCATACAGTATATTAAAATAAAGCTGCTCATATAGAGCCGTTCTCTTTAATTTAATCTTTTTTTTGCTTTGCTTTGAAGTAAAATCAGATGTACGACAGGACAAATTAGGCATGGAAAATGGACTGAGGCTTGAACAAATGCAAGCATCTTTGCTACCGTATGCAATCATGCATGGTTCATTAAGTGACACGTGGTTCATAAGCACCAGGGCCTTCTATCCAGGTTATCCAGGTTGCCAAATATGTCGATTAAAAACTTAAAAAGAATTCCATAAAATTACAAATGTATATAAATAACATATGACAACCTCTGTAGGACAGAATTTCAATTTCTGACCTAATAATTTAATTAGCCATTGGTTACTGGGTCTTACATAAATTTAACATTGTAAATATTCCCTGAAATAAGCAGACTGTCCACTGATTTTCATACTATTTATTAAAGACATGTAAAAAAGATCTCTTGTCATACATGCAAAATAAGTTATTATTCTTAAGTTCTCATGCTTTCAAGTTTTCCACATAAAGCCCAAATATCTTATATATTCCAAACTCCAGTTTTAGCTTTCAAATTAAAATATAGCTCAAAGGATTTTGAAACTGGAACTGTTCTGAGTCATGAGGAAAATTATTCTTGAAATTTAGTCCCCCCCATCTTAATTCATTCTAACCTTCTTTCAGAAGTAAAATTCTTATCTTTAGGTCTGCTAACACCAGTGAATTGAAACTTACATTTGAGGAGTTCTGGTGAGGGAGAATCCGTCATGAGCATAGGGGAAGAAAGCATTTTATAAACTTCAGAATGTTCTTGTTCTGGAAGGAAATTTAATAAATTCTGATCCATGACATCCGACTGCAAAAGAAATAAAAAGCAGAAGTGCACACTGCAGGAAAATGAACAATAAAATCAAAGGTAAAAACTGAATTTTTTTTAACAATTCAGAAGCCATTTCTGAACTGCAAAGTTTAAGATTTGGTTTCCTGGGAAGACTTTCGATCTGAATTGTAACTTAAAAGGTTATGGGAACTGGAGGTGTAGCTCAGTGGTATAGCAAGCACTTGCCTAGCATACATGAGGCTCTGGGTTCAATCCTAGGCACTGAAAAAGAAGGAAGGAAAGAAGATAGAGAGAAGAAAGGGAGGAAAAGAGGGAGAGAGAAGAAGGATCTAGTGTGGTGATGTATGTCTGTAATCCAGCTACTTTGGAAGCAGAGGTAGGAAGATCACAACCTTAGACTTACCTAAGGCAAAAACATGAGATCTATCTGAAAAATAAACTCAAAAACCAAGTACTGAGGAAGGGACTTAGTGGCGTTCTTGCCCTGAATTCAATCCCCAATCTTCAAAAAGAAGGAAAGATTAGACATGCATATAATAAAACAAAAAGTTTGCGATTATTATTTGATATCTTCAGGAGATTGTTTTCAGGACCAACTATGAATATTCAATTCCATGGATGCTCAAGTCTACTAAGTAAAATGCCACAATATTTGCATATAACTGATGGATATCCTCCTATACAATTTGAATCATCTCTAGACAACATATCTAATGAAATATAATTGTTTTAAAATAGTTGCTATACTGTATCAGAAAAAAGGATCTGTACATGTTTAGTACACATGCATGTATATTCAAGTACTGTCAACCTGCGGATGGTTGAATCCTTGGATGTGGAACTTATGTGTAGGTGTGGAGAGTCCTCTGTAGTTGATCAAATGCACCTGTGCTATTGCCCAGGGTTCTGGAAAGAAAGCATGAAGTCTGCTCCTACTGGAGGAGACCTGTTTTGCTAACTCTACTGCCTTCTGGCTGGAGGAGTTCTACTTAGACACCCCCAAAGACTGCATGGGGTTCTTTTCTGAACATTCAGACCAGCAAAAGGCTGCCTGTTATTTCTCAGTAACCTCTAATTGCTGGAGACATACTGTTTTCAAGTACCCAGATAGTGGGCTACAGAAAAAATAATAGCTAGAGTCTAGATACCATCCTGTTCCATCAAACCATGTGATGAGAAAAAAGGCCTGAAATCTGAATCTGCATTGTCCAAGTGGTTTCTGAGCACTTGGGATGTTGGCCAGTGTGTTGAGGTTCTGAATTTTGTTTTGTTTTGCTTTGGTTTTTGTGATGGACTGTGGCTTGGACTGAGGGACTAGACGTTGTCCCTTGGATTTTTTTTTTTTTTGCTCCTGACTGGTGCTCTACTACTTGAGCTACAGCTCAAATTTGAAGTCTGAATTTCCATCAACTCCTATGCTCAACCTCCTTCAGTCAGATACCCCCAGACACCAGTCCCATGGCTCCCCAGGGCCTGGCCCATCTTCTCTGCAGTTTGGGTTCTCATCTCAACCACTGGGTTTTCATCTCTGGCATTGCCAGGTGGCACCGAGAGTCATTTCCCCATACCACACACCCAGGTGATTCCTTGGCTCCTCCCTTTCTCACCTTCACCTCCTCCATTTGTTACTCAATGTCCACAGGCTTCCTGATCTTCCTCCTTCCGATTGTCTCTGTTCCATTCCCTTCTTTAAAAAATATATTTTTTTGAGCCAGGTACGGGTGGCTCACACCTGGAATCCTAGCTACTCAGGAGGCTGAGATCTGAGGATCATGGTTTAAAGCCAGCCCGGGCAGGAAAGTCCATGAGACTCTTAGTGGCACTGTGGCTGAAGTGGTAGAGCGCTCGCCTTTGAGCTGAAGAGCTGAGGGGCAGTGTTCAGGGCCAGAGTTCAAGCCCCATGGCCGACAAAAAAAATATTTTTTGAAACAATACATTCCAAGTTAGCCTTGAACTCTTGATCTTCCTTCCACAGCCTCCACAGTGGTGCGATTACAAGTGTGCATCCCTGTACCCAGGTGCTCTACTCTTTTGTGTTTCTGATTTCTACTCCTGTCCAAATTCCCTTAATCTCTTGCCTGGAAGATGATTTGACAAACTGGTCTTTCCACCTCCATTATGGTCCCTATCTAATTTAGCTGTCCCCTGCAGCCCGAAGAAGACATAGATCATATCAGGGCATTACTTCACATAGAACTGTCCCTTGGCCTCCCACTGTTTGGGAGACAAATGCTAAACTTTGGACATACTTTTCAGGCTGTGCATATCACATCCCCTACCCATTCACTGTTCAAAACCTTCCATACCCTCCCTCCCTTTGTGTTCACTGATGGTTGACACCCTGGCTGTGTTCTCCCCGAGCTGAGTTATCCACAAATGCAAGGTGAGGAGGTGAGAGGATTACATGAGATTGTTGGTCTGCCTTGATGATAAAACAGCACAGAGCCAACATTCAATAACTGCTACCTGTACTGCATGAGCTACCTGTACTGCATGAAGCAACTCCACAGCAGTGTCACTTTCTTGCTCATGTAACACATTGACTGGTGTCTTCCCCTCCCTCCCTCCCATGGGAGCTCCCTTCTGTGTTCCTAACCTTCATAATGGCACTCGGCCTTCCATAACAATGCCTGTGGACTAGCTGCATGAGTGGTGTGGACACTCACCAGGAGAGAAGCGAAAATCAACATGCCCAGAGGACACCAAGGACAGCGCGCTGGCTCTCAGATGAGGGGTGGTGTCAGGGGGCTCCCAGGGAAGAGCCCCACAGGGAGGATCCGGGGACAAGAGGAGCTCCAGGTAGAGCTCACAGTGCTATAGGAGCCATTAAGCAGGGCTAGGCTAATGGGGTGGGGTTAGGCAACACAGGAAGCAGGACCTAGTTACAGAGACCTGGCTTAAGGAGTCCACGCAGCAGAGGGCACTGAGGAACTTCAGACAGCCAGGAGCAGGGCAGCAGCCAGCCCGACTTAACATGGGTTGACTTAAGGTTTCCTGACTTTACGATAGTACAAAAGACATCCATATTCAGTAGGAATGACACTTAGAAATGTTCTGTTTTCCTGGGCTCGTGATGTAGTCTAACCATGGGAGGTGGCAGCAGCAGCCGTGAGCTGCAGCTCCCAGTCAGCTCATGAGCAGACACAGCACTGCAGTGTGCTGTGCTGGTGGACTCGGTTGCATAGTTTAGGTGCAGCCAGAACATTTTCCATGTACAATACAGCTTGCCCTGTGTTTATCAACACGGGCTAGCCTCATGGTAAGTTGAGGAGCATCTGTACTTGTATTTTAAAGAGGTCCTGCTCATGATTTAAAAGAACAGGACACCCGAAGTCAGGCTAGTGCTGTCTAGAGTGTGAAGGGAGACAGGATGGAGAGGAGGAACAGAGTGCAAAGGCATGCATTCACTATCAAAGCTGCAGCCAATATTACTGAGGGGTGCTAGGTGCCAGGCACTGGGCAAGGGAAGAAACACACAGAAGAGGCAAAGGAGTCAGTGCTGTAGTGGGTTTGAGGATGGTGGACACAGCTTAGTGGCTGACTGGAAAACAGGAGGGGAGGAGGGGAGAAAGGAAGAACTTGGAATGGCTGTGGTTGGAAGCAGTATATGTATGTGTGTATCTTTGTACGTATGTATGTATCTCTATCTGCCCACCTACCTGCCTATCTATACTGTATGTGTGTGTGTGTGTGTGTATACATACACACACACACACACACACACACACACACACACACACACACACGTATATATAGTCCTGGGGCTTGAAATCAAGGCCTGGGCATTATCCCTTAGCTTTTTTTGCTCAAGGCTGGCTTGTGTTAAAGCTCTACTTCTGCTCTTTTGGTGACTGGTTGGAGATGAGAGTCTCGCAGATTTTTCTGTTCAGTCTGGCTTTGAGGTGCTACCCTTAGATCTCAGCCTCCTGAGTAGCTAGTATTACAAGCATGAGCCACCAGTGCCCGGCTGGAGGCAGCGATTTTTACTTATATGAACAGACTATCACAGACATCTTCACCAGCTCATGCTATCATTTCTCAGTTTGGCTTTCTCCACCTGTTTCCCAAGGCTCATGGTTATATTTTAATCTCATTCCCTTTAGCTTCTTCAGCAGATGACTCATGTTCACAGACAACAGTAGCCTTTCTTCATAAAGATATTTCAGACACATGAAAAACATCTCTAAGTCCCTCTATGGGGTTTTCTCAGAGGGCCCCTTCAGAAGCTGCTTCCCTAAGATTGTGTGGCAGAGGGTAGGGTGAAGGGTTACCTGGCCTAGGTGAGCATATGGAAGGGCAAGGGCAGGCTGGAGGGTGGTGGAACACCTCAGTGTCTGCACAAAGTAAAGATGAACAGAGGGAGGTGGGAGAAGGTGTGTTGCTGGGGAGATTGGCAGGAATGTGGGTTAATACTCTCACAGGGCTCAGAACTATGCTTGGCTCTTACATGGATTTGCCAGTATATTACTATCATGCAATTTCCACATGCTATCAAAAGGTGATAATTTGGTCATTTAAACCCTAACACTGATAGAAGGTAAATTCCATCTGCAACTGAACTCTTCCTTGAATGAGCTGCACTCTGTTGATTAAAATAGTAGCAATTACGGATAAAAAGGAGGGAACACACCGTGTATAGCTACTATCATTGCTAAGTCCCATGGTCAAGAGCCAGTCCTTACCTGTGGGAGGCAAGCCTTCTCTTGCTGCCTGGCCCTAGGCTGTGTTATGTCAGAACTACTCCTGTTCTGAGCTTTCCTGCCCTGAGTTCCTCAACTCACCTTTCCCAGGTTTCCCCACTAGAAAAGCTGCAGACTCAGGCCACTTCTGGCCCTTCAACTAGTAGCACAGGCTCAACTATGCTGCTCAAAGTGAAACAGGCCTGTACCAAAAGCACAGGAGCCAACTGGCAGGAATCGAAGTGGGCTGGGTGGATGTTCAGTCCCTAAATGTCCTTGAGGGACCCCAGCAGTTCTGGCTATCGAGATGTATGCTGGGCACAGTGAGAAGGGATA